GATGGAGACGACTAAACACCGAGATGGAGACGACTAAACACCGAGATGGAGACGACTAATCCCCAAGATGGAGACGACTAATCCCCGAGATGGAGACGACTAATCACCGAGATGGAGACGACTAAACACCAAGATGGAGACGACTAATCACCAAGATGGAGACGACTAATCCCCAAGATGGAGACGACTAATCACCAAGATGGAGACGACTAAACCCCAAGATGGAGACGACTAAACACCCGGAATGGAGACGACTAAACACCAAGATGGAGACGACTAATCCCCAAGATGGAGACGACTAATCACCGAGATGGAGACGACTAAACACCGGGATGAAGACGACTAAACACCAAGATGGAGACGACTAATCACCAAGATGGAGACGACTAATCCCCAAGATGGAGACGACTAATCACCGAGATGGAGACGACTAAACACCGAGATGGAGACGACTAAACACCAAGATGGAGACGACTAAACACCAAGATGGAGACGACTAATCCCCAAGATGGAGACGACTAATCCCCAAGATGGAGACGACTAATCACCAAGATGGAGACGAATAATCCCCAAGATGGAGACGACTGGGGAGACGACTAAACACCAAGATGGAGACGACTAATCACCAAGATGGAGACGACTAATCACCGAGATGGAGACGACTAAACACCGAGATGGAGACGACTAAACACCAAGATGGAGACGACTAATCCCCAAGACGGAGACGACTAATCACCGAGATGGAGACGACTAAACACCGAGATGGAGACGACTAAACACCAAGATTGAGACGACTAAATCACCGGGGAGACGACTAATCCCCAAGATGAGACCGGACTAATCCACCAAGATGGAGACGACTAAACACCAAGATGGAGACGGAGACTACTAAACACCAAGATGGAGACGACAATCACCGAGATGGAGACGACTAAACACCGAGATGGAGACGACTAATCACCGAGATGCGAGACGACTAATCACCGAGATGGAGACGACTAAACACCGAGATGGAGACGACTAACACAGAGATGGAGACGGACTACACCGAGATGGAGACGACTAAACACAGAGATGGAGACGACTAAAACACCGAGATGGAGACGACTAAACACCGAGATGGAGACGACTAATCACCGAGATGAGATGACTAAACACCGAGATGGAGACGACTAAACACCGAGATGGAGACGACTAATCACCGAGATGGAGATGACTAAACACCGAGATGGAGACGACTAATCACCGAGATGGAGATGACTATCACCGAGATGGAGATGGACTAAACACCGAGATGGAGACGACTAAACCCCGAGATGGAGACGACTAATCACCGAGATGGAGACGACTAATCACCGAGATGGAGATGACTAAACACCGAGATGGAGACGACTAAACACCGAGATGGAGACGACTATCATCACCGAGATGGAGATGACTAAACACCGAGATGGAGACGACTAATCACCGAGATGGAGATGACTAATCCCCAGTGGTTGGAGGACACAGAGCTGATTGTTCTCAGCTGAGAGTCATTAGCGTTCTTTAACCCTCTCCTCTGGAGGAATGCAGATAATCTCAGTGTGACCGGATTACACCCTCAGGACCTGCATGGTGTTCCTCTGAGGACACATTCAACAGGACCTGCATGGTGTTCCTCTGAGGACACATTCAACTCCCATTTCATCATTCATTCATTCCAGTTGTCTCTGAATTAATCAACAGAACATTTTAGTTTGGTGGTGTGGTTGTGCAGAGGTGCATCAATGGGGAGTTGTAGTCTAAATGTATATGTAATAAAATATATAAAGTGGTAAAAACAGTGAATAAAGTTTCAGTTTGAGGCTAAATCGAGTTTCTGTCTACATTTTAATGCAGTTTGTTACGACAGGTATTTCCCCTCACAGCCAATCACTGATCGGATCCCACGGTGGGGTTTCTCTCAGTAGAATACTCAGAACTTTATTACTGCAGTAAAGTAGAATACTCAGAACTTTTACTGGCAGTAAAGTAGAATACTCGAAACTTTACTGCAGTAAAGTAGAATACTCAGAACTTGACTGCAGTAAAGTAGAATACTCAGAACTTTTACTGCAGTAAAGTAGAATACTCAGAACTTTTACTGCAGTAAAGTAGAATACTCAGAACTTTTACTGCAGTAAAGTAGAACACAGAGCCACATGTTGTAATAACCTGAAGTAACAGCAGAATAAAATACTCAAGGATCTCAGACTTCAGTGAAAGTACTGGGTTACTCTCCTGGTCACATGACGCTGAGCAGGTGGAGGGTTACTCTCCTGGTCACATGACGCTGAGCAGGTGGAGGGTTACTCTCCTGGTCACATGACGCTGAGCAGGTGGAGGTTACCCTGAGTGTGAGAGGTCTTTGAGGGAGGAAGACGAGTGGTTGGAGGAAGGTGGTGATGAAGAGCTAGTGCTGCTGGAGTCCGGCCATCTTCTTCTTCTCAGTGTGCAGCTGCAGGTTTGAAGCTCTGAGTCTGAGCTGCTGACTCCACTCTGGGGGCGGGGCTTACACTGAGGGGGCGGGGCATGTGTAAGTAAAGTTTAAACCCTTGTGTTTATGTTCACATTTCGCACCCTTTGGTAATGTTCGGGTCAAATTGACCCGGGACATATTTTCAGGGTTTAAAAATACAGAACTAAATTCAACATGCACAAGTCCTTATATATATTTAACTCATCCCCCAACAATATCAATGAAATATATGATTAGTTTTTGAAAATACTCTTTGCCTAGATCAAATGTAACGATGAAAGTGTCCATCGTTTTTTGTGAAAAAATGTAATTTGTGTTCAAAAAAATACACTGTAATAAAAACTAGGTTTACATTTTGCTCATGCTTTTTCTAGGACTAATGTAAATGAAACGTTTTTTCACTAATGTTTATTATTTTAATGTGGCTGTGGGGGTCTTCCAGCGGCTGGCAGTGGGGGTCTTCCAGCGGCTGGCTGTGGGGGTCCTTCAGCGGCTGGCAGTGGGGGTCCTTCCAGCGGCTGGCTGTGGGGGTCCTTCAGCGGCTGGCAGTGGGGGTCCTTCAGCGGCTGGCAGTGGGGGTCATTCAGCGGCTGGCAGTGGGGGGTCCTTCAGCGGCTGGCAGTGGGGGTCCTTCAGCGGCTGGCTGTGGGGGTCCTTCAGCGGCTGGCAGTGGGGGTCCTTCAGCGGCTGGCTGTGGGGGTCTTCCAGCGGCTGGCTGTGGGGGTCCTCCTCCGGCGTGCAGGTGCGAGGGGGACAGTGCGAGAAAATGTAAAATGTTTATACATTTCTGGAAGATCTAAAATGTTTATAATGTTTCTAGGATAGTTTTTGTGCACACACTACAAAGGGTAAGATCAAGGTGAAACAGGTTCAAACAGCTTCTCTATGCATACCATTGTGTGTGTGTGTGTGTTTTTCTCTGTCTCTCTGTCCTGGTATTGTATCCGGGTCAGATTGACCCGAACCTCTTATGAAGGACTAAAATGCGGGTGGGCATTTTTTTAATAAGTGGAAAAAAATAAAAACTATTCCACATGTCCTTCACAATAAATAAGCCCCGGCCATTGAGTTTCAGGTTGAACGAAAATATCCCTATATTTTTTTTTATTCATTGAAAATGGAAATCGGGTCAATTTGACCAGAACACCACACAAGGGACAATTCACCTCAAATTAAAACTACCAGAGGGTCAGGAATGAGTCTTAAAACCCTGACATGAGTCAGCACTATGAGTCCTAAACCCTGATATAGAACATAAATCATTCAGAACTCTGAGGGAAAAAACAAGAAATCTGACTTAACCCTTAAAGGTCCCGTGTCCTGCTCCTCTGGCTCTGACCCGTCCCCTTGTGTTCTGAAGCTTCTGCATGTGAACGCTCTGCAGAGTCTCAAACCCTCAAAGTGCACCCTGTAGGGAGTAACACTCTGACAGTCTGTGCTGCCCCTGAACGCCTCGTTGGACATTTCTCTTTCTCCATGGTTTACTTCCTGGGTACTCTGACGTGGGGACAACCCAGAGGCCACGCCCTCTGCCAGCCTCTGACGTGGGGACACCCAGAGGCCACGCCCTCTGCCAGCCTCTTACGTGGGGACACCCAGAGGCCACGCCCTCTGCCAGCCTCTGACGTGGGGACAATCAGAGGCCACGCCCTCTGCCAGCCTCTGACGTGGGGACACCCAGAGGCCACGCCCTCTGCCAGCCTCTGACGTGGGGACACCCAGAGGCCACGCCCTCTGCCAGCCTCTGACGTGGGGATACCCAGAGGCCACGCCCTCTGCCAGCCTTTCACCAAACAAAGCTTCCCAAACCTTTTAGAATTCATGCGGATATGCACAGCGTAGGAAGAACGATGCTGTTCCTGCTTTGTTTGGACCAGCGGGAGATTCGGGTACACAACCTGTAAGTATTCATTGTTTGTGTATTTATGATGTTTAAAACAAGGTTTCTACCACGACTGTTTGAATGGGTAAACAGGAGCTCCAACGAGGCGTGTAGGACAGAGTGAATACACAGACTATCCAGAGAGGCTGTGAGAAACCAATGAGAGTTTGGAACATTGAACAATGTGAATCTATTCTAGTAGAGCTCAACGATGGGATCATGATCAGTAGAAATGGCCATGACATGGGACCTTTACGTTTTTGTTTAATTCTTTCTTTAAGCTCAGTTTAAGTTTTATTTATTTTTGACATGGGACCTTTAAAGTAAACATATTGTAATTTTGTAAAGAAATGGTGGAAAAGTGTTGATCATCTTTTCAGAATGTTTCTTCCTAAATCTGAGGGGAAAAAAACGTTGTTTCAGATTTCTTTTTTCAGACTTAAAGAAAATGTCTGAATAGTTTTTTCAAGTCATTTTTTTCTTCTGAGGGTTTCTGAGAATCGAGCAAAAATCAAAATGACCGCTAAAGTAGACAACAGTTTTTAATAAAATGTGATCATGCTTTTAAAGAGATCTCTATATATGAGCTGAGCCTCTCAGCCAATCAGCAGTCAGAACACACATGTTGTATAAATCTTTATTGTTTAACAGGAACGAAACTGAGCTGCAAACATGATCAAATACAAGAGAGAACAGTGTGTTCATACAAAAACTCCTACTACCCAACATCAACTGAATATTTCAAAATAAAAGAATTCACAGAAACTCGAGGTCGTCGTCGTCGTCAGTCCCGGCCGCGACTCCCCGGCGCTCGAGGGACTGCAGAGAGGGAGGGATTCATGAGCAATTAAACATTACTGAGTGTGTGTGTGAGAGTGAGTGTGTGAGTGTGGTGAGTGTCTGAAGCAGGACTCACCTCCTGGCTGGAGATCCAGAGCGGCCCATGGATCCGGACCTGCAGACACAGAGGTCACATTTATTGTGAAGGAGACAAGAAACCACTAAACTGACATCTGAGTCTCTTATTGTGAAAGTCCCCCTCAGTGATCAGGGCTTTTATTGTGAAAGTCTCCCTCAGTGATTGTTTTAGGACTCTTATTGTTAAAGTCTCCCTCAGTGATCAGGGCTTTTATTGTGAAAGTCTCCCTCAGTGATTGTTTTAGGACTCTTATTGGTAAAGTCTCCCTCAGTGATCAGGGCTTTTATTGTGAAAGTCTCCCTCAGTGATTGTTATAGGACTCTTATTGTGAAAGTCTCCCTCAGTGATTGTTATAGGACTCTTATTGTGAAAGTCTCCCTCAGTGATTGTTATAGGACTCTTATTGGCAAAGTCTCCCTCAGTGATTGTTATAGGACTCTTATTGGCAAAGTCTCCCTCAGTGATCAGGGCTTTTATTGTGAAAGTCTCCCTCAGTGATTGTTATAGGACTCTTATTGGTAAAGTCTCCCTCAGTGATCAGGGCTTTTATTGTTAAAGTCTCCTTCAGTGATTGTTATAGGACTCTTATTGGTAAAGTCTCCCTCAGTGATCAGGGCTTTTATTGTGAAAGTCTCCCTCAGTGATTGTTATAGGACTCTTATTGGTAAAGTCTCCCTCAGTGATTGTTATAGGACTCTTATTGTGAAAGTCTCCCTCAGTGATTGTTATAAGACTCTTATTGGTAAAGTCTCCTTCAGTGATTGTTATAGGACTCTTATTGGTAAAGTCTCCTTCAGTGATCAGGGCTTTTATTGTGAAAGTCTCCCTCAGTGATTGTTATAGGACTCTTATTGTGAAAGTCTCCCTCAGTGATCAGGGCTTTTATTGGTAAAGTCTCCCTCAGTGATCAGGGCTTTTATTGTGAAAGTCTCCCTCAGTGATTGTTATAGGACTCTTATTGTGAAAGTCTCCCTCAGTGATCAGGGCTTTTATTGTGAAAGTCTCCCTCAGTGATTGTTATAGGACTCTTATTGGTAAAGTCTCCCTCAGTGATTGTTATAGGACTCTTATTGTGAAAGTCTCCCTCAGTGATTGTTATAGGACTCTTATTGTGAAAGTCTCCCTCAGTGATCAGGGCTTTTATTGTGAAAGTCTCCCTCAGTGATTGTTATAGGACTCTTATTGTGAAAGTCTCCTTCAGTGATCAGGGCTTTTATTGTGAAAGTCTCCCTCAGTGATTGTTATAGGACTCTTATTGGTAAAGTCTCCCTCAGTGATCAGGGCTTTTATTGTGAAAGTCTCCCTCAGTGATTGTTATAGGACTCTTATTGGGTAAAGTCTCCCTCAGTGATCAGGGCTTTTATTGTGAAAGTCTCCCTCAGTGATTGTTATAGGACTCTTATTGGTAAAGTCTCCCTCAGTGATCAGGGCTTTTATTGTGAAAGTCTCCCTCAGTGATTGTTATAGGACTCTTATTGGTAAAGTCTCCCTCAGTGATCAGGGCTTTTATTGTGAAAGTCTCCCTCAGTGATTGTTATAGGACTCTTATTGGTAAAGTCTCCCTCAGTGATCAGGGCTTTTATTGTGAAAGTCTCCCTCAGTGATTGTTATAGGACTCTTATTGGTAAAGTCTCCCTCAGTGATTAGGGATTTTATGGCGCATTTCCACTGCAGGGCCTCGCACGGCTTAGTACGGTATGGCTCACTTTAAGCTGCGCTTCCATTACAGTTTAGTAGCTGGGGCAGTTACTATAGTAACGCAGTGTAGGCGGCGCCGTGACGTCATCTTCAATGAGAGTCCCAGAAAAACAACACAGCTGTTAACTGTTAGCACTCAGAGCTCACAGCTCCTCATATCTGTTCAGAAACTAGACAGAAGTTAAACAAGTACAAACCACAGACTGCCTGTGTCATGGAGAATACAGTCGCTGCTTTATTTATGTCTGTATAGGCCGTTGTTGTTGCTATGGAAACAACGTGACGGAGATTAACGGAGAAAAGTCATATCTACATATAAAGACGGAGAAAGTAAACGATAAAGTGTATGGTTAAGTGTTAGCACCCCCGAAGAGGCACAAGCTCTTACGCTGATATCGGAGATTTCAATATTTCAATTCAATCAAAAACGGGGAAAAAAACAATCTGTACGAGTCTGCAGCAACACCTCAGACCCCAATCTCTAGGGGTCTGCAGCAACACCTCAGACCCCAATCTGTAGGGGTCGGCAGCAACACCTCAGACCCCAATCTGTACGGGTCGGCAGCAACACCTCAGACCCCAATCTGTAGGGGTCGGCAGCAACACCTCAGACCCCAATCTGTAGGGGTCTGCAGCAACACCTCAGACCCCAATCTGTACGGGTCGGCAGCACCACCTCAGACCCCAATCTGTAGGGGTCTGCAACAACACCTCAGACCCCAATCTGTAGGGGTCTGCAGCAACACCTCAGACCCCAATCTGTAGGGGTCTGCAACAACATCTCAGACCACAATCTGTAGGGGTCTGCAGCAACACCTCAGACCCCAATCTGTAGGGGTCTGCAGCAACACCTCAGACCCCAATCTGTAGGGGTCTGCAACAACATCTCAGACCACAATCTGTAGGGGTCTGCAGCAACACCTCAGACCCCAATCTGTAGGGGTCTGCAGTAACACCTCAGACCCCAATCTGTAGGGGTCTGCAGCACCTCAGACCCCAATCTGTAGGGGTCTGCAACAACACCTCAGACCCCAATCTGTACGGGTCGGCAGCACCTCAGACCCCAATCTGTAGGGGTCTGCAACAACACCTCAGACCCCAATCTGTAGGGGTCTGCAGCAGCACCTCAGACCCCAATCTGTACGGGTCTGCAGCAACACCTCAGACCCCAATCTGTAGGGGTCTGCAGCAACACCTCAGACCCCAATCTGTAGGGGTCTGCAGCAACACCTCAGACCCCAATCTGTACGGGTCTGCAGCAACACCTCAAACCCCAATCTGTAGGGGTCTGCAGCAACCCCTCAGACCCCAATCTGTAGGGGTCTGCAGCAACACCTCAGACCCCAATTTGTACGAGTCTGCAGCAACACCTCAGACCCCAATCTGTAGGGGTCTGCAGCAACACCTCAGACCCCAATCTGTAGGGGTCTGCAGCAACACCTCAGACCCCAATCTGTACGGGTCGGCAGCACCTCAGACCCCAATCTGTACGGGTCTGCAGCAACACCTCAGACCCAAATCTGTAGGGGTCTGCAGCACCTCAGACCCCAATCTGTAGGGGTCTGCAGCACCTCAGACCCCAATCTGTAGGGGTCTGCAGCACCTCAGACCCCAATCTGTAGGGGTCTGCAGCAACACCTCAGACCCCAATCTGTAGGGGTCTGCAGCAACACCTCAGACCCCAATCTGTACGGGTCTGCAGCAACACCTCAGACCCCAATCTGTAGGGGTCTGCAACAACACCTCAGACCACAATCTGTAGGGGTCTGCAGCACCTCAGATCCCAATCTGTAGGGGTCTGCAACAACACCTCAGACCCCAATCTGTACGGGTCTGCAGCAACACCTCAGACCCCCATCTGTAGGGGTCTGCAACAACACCTCACACACCATCACACTGAGTACGGGTTCCCCCCAAGGATGTGTGCTCAGCCCCCTGCTCTTCAACCTGCTGACCCCCCCCACCCCTCACAGCTCCAACCACTTCATCAAGTTTGAAGACACAACCGTGGTGGGTCTCAACAACAACAACGACGACGACGAGACCCACTACAGGAGGGAGGAGAACCAGCTGGCAGGAATCCTGAAGTCAAATTGAAAACCTGTTAAAGGTCCCGTGTCGTGGCCATTTCCACTGATCATAGTTCCATCGTTGAGCTCGACTAGAATAGATTTATATCGTGCAATTTTCGAAACTCACATTGTTTCTCAAACAGCATCTCTGTAAACTACGTGTATTCACTGGATTTCACTCTCTGCCTTTAACGACTCGTTGTAGCTCCAATAGCTGCAGCCCCCCCCCTCCCTGTGAGCACAGTGTGCTCTGATTGGTCGGGACGGTGTGAATCGCGCTAAGCTCCGCGGAGGTGTCGTTTCCTTGTTTAGCGAAACACAGCCAAACTCACCCTGAGCACACACAAAGTCACAGCCGAAGTAAAAACAATAAGTGTGGCTTGATATTGATAAACGCTGTGAGAACGGGTCTGCAGAGAGAATGGGTCTGCAGAGAGAATGGGTCTGCAGAGAGAACGGGTCTGCAGAGAGAACGGGTCTGCAGAGAGAACGGGTCTGCAGAGAGAACGGGTCTGCAGAGAGAACGGGTCTGCAGAGAGAACGGGTCTGCGAGAGAACGGGTCTGCAGAGAGAACGGGTCTGCAGAGAGAACGGGTCTGCGAGAGAACGGGTCTGCAGAGAGAACGGGTCTGCGAGAGAATGGGTCTGCAGAGAGAACGGGTCTGCAGAGAGAACGGGTCTGCGAGAGAACGGGTCTGCAGAGAGAACGGGTCTGCGAGAGAACGGGTCTGCAGAGAGAACGGGTCTGCGAGAGAATGGGTCTGCAGAGAGAACGGGTCTGCAGAGAGAACGGGTCTGCGAGAGAACGGGTCTGCAGAGAGAACGGGTCTGCGGAGAACGGGTCTGCAGAAGAACGGGTCTGCAGAGAGAACGGGTCTGCAGAGAGAACGGGTCTGCAGAGAGAACGGGTCTGCGAGAGACGGGTCTGCAGAGAGAACGGGTCTGCAGGAGAACGGGTCTGCAGAGAGAACGGGTCTGCGAGAGAACGGGTCTGCAGAGAGAACGGGTCTGCAGAGAGAACGGGTCTGCAGAGAGAATGGGGGTCTGCAGAGAGAACGGGTCTGCAGAGAGAATGGTCTGCAGAGAGAACGGGTCTGCAGAGAGAACGGGTCTGCAGAGAGAACGGGTCTGCAGAGAGAATGGGTCTGCAGAGAGAAGGGTCTGCGAGAGAATGGGTCTGCAGAGAGAACGGGTCTGCGAGAGAACGGGTCTGCGAGAGAATGGGTCTGCAGAGAGAACGGGTCTGCTGAGAGAACGGGTCTGCAG